GAGGAAGGGCTTCCCGGCGCCAACAGAAAGTGTGCGGTGCAATGTACCAGCTATGCTTGAGCACCCGGCCAGTAGCGCCCTGTGGCACCACCCCCATGCCCTCCGTCTCTTGGAAAGGCCTTTGTCGGAGACGGTGTTCGATGCGTGCATGTTCGACGGTCGCGTGCTCCGCAGGTGGCGCCTCGTCAAAGAGCTGCAGTTGTAGTCGAGGTCTGTGTGATAAGTCCAGCAAGTTTCATCTGGGCGCCTTCCTCATTTGGGCGGGGCCCAGCGGGCCCAAGCGAGGCAGACTCATCGCTTCGTCGCTGCTGAAGGCGTTGCGGCTCTTCTCGCTGGTGTTCGTCGCATGGCCTCAGTGGCCAGTCCGGAGCCCCACCTGACAATCCTTAGGGGGGTGGTGTAGGTCGTTTACGCTGCTTTGGAGGAACCAGGTGTTGCCACGTGGCAGTTTTTCGTGGTCTGGATTGGTATTTGCTTGTAATTGATTGCGGCCTCCAGGCCAAAGTACCAAGCTGGCATGTGGGGTACGGTTTTGTGCTTCGCGCGCTGCATGGTCTTCGGAACGCCCGTCGCCCACAGCACAACACAGGCATTTACATATACATATACATGTACATATACATATGCACATTTGTATATAGTTATATTCATGTGTATATATATATACACATACATATATAGTCTAGTCCCAGCCCGCGGCTGCGTGATCAGCCGCCGTTCACCTCGCTCAAGTGTTTTCTCCCCTCTCTTCTTTTCCCCTCTTTCTTTTCTTCTCTACGGTGTTGTGCTTCGCATGTCGCATGGCCGTCGGAGCATCCCTCGCCTACACCACTACATCGTCTGGTCTGAGCGCCTTCTCACATGACGACGACGATGATGCTGATGATGGTGATGCTGATGATGGTGATGCTGATGATGATGATGATGATGATGATGATGGTGACGGTGACGGTGATGGTGATGGTGATGGCGATGTGGTGGTGGTGGTGATGGTGATGGTTATGCGATGATGATCTTGATGATGGTGATGCTGATGATGCTGATGATGATGACGATGATGACGGTGGTGATGATGCTGCTGATGTTTATGATGCTGACGATGGTGCTGACGATGATGATGATTCTGATGATGGCGATGATGATGCTGATGATATTGATGGTGTTGATGAGGCTGACGGCGAAGACGATGATGATCATTCTGTAGCTGCTGCTGATGAGGGCGACAGCGACGGCGACTACGACGACCACGGTGATAATGGTGATGATGAGGATGATGATGATGATGATGATGATGATGATGATGTAATTGTTGTTGACGATGATGATGCTGATGGTGATGGTGATGATGATGACTCTGATTCTGATTTTGATGATGCTGATGTATTATAAGTGTGACGATTCTGACGGTGCTGATGACAACGTTGATGCTGATTCTGCTGATGGTGATGTTGGTGGTGATGGTGACACTGATTGCCATGATGATTATCATGCGGGTGATGATGATGATGCTGATGATGATGATGATGATGATGATGGTGATGCTGATGATGATGCTGATGCTGATGATGCTGACGACGCCGCCGACGACGGCGATGATGCTGATGTTGCTGCTGCTGATGATGATAATGCTGTTGGTGATGGTGATTGTGATGGAGATGGCTATGACGACGAAACATATGCATACGAATACCAATCATACTATGGGCATGGTGATGGTGATGATGATGATGACGACGACGATGATGAAGATGATGATGATGATGATGATGATGATGATGATGATGATGATGATGATGATGATGATGATGATGATGATGCTGATGATGATGATGATGATGATGATGATGATGATGATGATGATGATGATTGTGACGATGACGGATTTTATGATGATCATGCTGCTGCTGGTGTGGCTGCGGGGCA